GCCAGGAAGCCTCCTGCCCAAGGCTCTCAGCTCTCTTGCTCTGTGGGTCAATGGGCCTAGTTCCGCCAAGTTCCCCGTGGCACCCCACTCCGCCAGGAAGCCTCCTGCCCAAAGGCGCTCAGCTCCCTCACTCCATAGGTCAGCACATTCACTATAACTACCTTACTCCATAAGCCAGGAAGCCCACTGTGCTGTCTCACACCAGTCTCCTTGTTCTGCTGCTCTCGCTTCTCTACCACTACTTCTCACCATCTTATGCCATCTCCAATGTTACAGCTCTCTGTCTCCTGGGTCTAGGAGGTTCTCAGGACATGGACCCTGGATCCAAAGGACACACTCTGCTCCCATCTCTTCTTCTTGGAGGTAGTGAGGCCCCCCTTGTCTGCCTCTGGGATGGCTCATTTTAAGCCTAGCTGGTAAAACTGACCAATCCCGTCTTCAGGGTTCCATACACTTTATTTGCATGCTCCCATCCCTACAAGGGTGCCATGCACTTTATTTGCATTATTAGCAAGCTGTCCAGTCCCCTTAGTGGGCCACAAGCTCCTTATCTGCATAGTCTCATCCAATCATTTGGGGGGAATTACAAGACCATGGTGAGAAAGACCATATAAAAGCAACCCATTGCACTGCATTTGACAACTGAAAAATTTTGTCTGTTCTTTCTGGTACAATCTTTTAAATGAAAAATTTCAAATATATACAAAAATAGAGAAAAACCATGAATAACCCTCCCATGCACCCATCACTGAGCTTAAATAATTATAAACTCATGGCCAATTTTGTTAATCTATACCTCTGCTTTTTTTTTTTTTAATACCAGGGTATTTTAAAGCAAAAGCCCGATGGCTTGTCATTTTACCCTACACTTCAGTATGCATCTCTAACTGATGAGTATATTTTAAAAACAAAACCACCACCATGTCATTTCATCCCACAGAATTAACAATGACTCCTTAGTGTCATCTAATACCCAGTACTTGGCTTCTACATCCAGGTGTTTTTTAAAAAAAGCTCCCCAGGTCATTCTACTGTATACCCAAACTTAGCATGATTAGAGTCTGGTTCTTGGGGTTTTTTAGGCTCTTTTTTTAAGGTTCTTCATACATGGTATGTACCATGTAGTTCCTATTGCAACTTATTAGGAGGCACATAATGTCTGGTTATTCCACTCTAGCGATTCTGAGATCGTACTGGACTCGGATATGTGCCTCCTCCAATTCACCTAGCCCCTCCTGCTCCCAGGTCTCAGCCATACAATGAAAAGAACTGGCTACCTCATCTCCTAACACCACTGGTTGTCTCAGAATCTCTGGGGGTGAAGGCCACAATGCAGGATGGCCTCCATCATGCCCACTGCAGCAAGAGCACCAATACTCAGATTCAACCTGAACAGACCCACAGAGTCTCTGACTAGAGACAGATTTCTCACAGTTCCTCCACCCACTAGACTGCTGTTAAGGCACAGGGGTTTCATACAGCCTCTGTGGAGACACTCTACATGACCAAACAACCAGGCTGTATTTTGTGAGGCTGTGTTCAGCTCAGCTTAGTGCAGCCCAGCTTTATTTGCTTTCACTCATTCCTGCTGCCTTGGGATTGCATACCCCATTGAAGTGTAGCACATAAGCTTTGCCACAGACCTTCCTTTCTACAGAAGTACTTCCCAAACGTTGGTATACATACAAACCACCCGATGAGCCTGTTAAACTATCGTTTCTAATTCAGAAAGTCTGGTAGGGCCTGAGATGTTACATGTCTGCACCGGCTCACAGGTGATGCCAATGTGGCTGGTCTTTGGCCTGTAGTTCCTGTAGCAAGGTTCTAGAGAACTGGGCCTAATAAAACATTGGTCCATAGAGTCAGGTGATTTCAGCCTGATTATAAAATTTCCCATCAACAGTTCATCTAATGGTTTCAACATGTTTGATGATCAACTACTTGGATCAGTGGCTCTCAAGGTAGGGTC